TTAATTTCCATAGGGAATACCTGGGCAAGCAATTGGAAAAGGAAAACGAGAATCAACCTCAGAAGGGCGGTTCAGCGCCAATCAGCGGTAAAGCCTAAATATATAAAATAAAATGCGTTTGCTTGTCAAAAGTATGCAATCGACTAGTGTAATCAATAAAGTAAACGTTAAATGTACTAAATCCCTTATAAAACAATAAAACAAAAAACGGAATGATTTCTTGTTATTCACAATAAATATTAACTTAATGAACATGTAAAATATTGCAACTTAAAGTGCAAAATCGTATTATACATTTAGTTTTGTTCATCATTCCATTTTATTTTGCCTAGTATTCTGTACATGTTTTTTTTGTTATTGTTGAAATGCCTTGGTCTTAGATCTATTATTTATAAAGCTTGTCAAATTCGTGCGTACATAATATTCTAAATATTGTTTACATGTTGTTACAGAAGTATTGAATTAGTATTTTTTGTGATTTATGCAAATTTTACGATCACTTTAATTGCTTCGTTGCTAATATCTGCTGATATACGAAGAAGTTTCAATAAATATTTAAATAAATGTATTATATAGTAAAACATACATTTGGCTCAATGTATATATTTGAAACGCATATAGTAAGTATAAATATAAATATTTTAAAATCAGGCGGTTCCAAAACGGTTATGTTTTCTTTAGTTCCATCTTTATTTACAACAATATCGCCGTCCCTTGGAAGAAGTGCCAGTGGTGTGTCTTGTTCTAAGGCCTTCATTTGTTGGGACGACATTAAATTCCCCGTAAAGGTTAAGTTGAATGTCAGGCTTAGGAATTATGCCTCTTTAGCCACCACCAAGTGTTACGGGCCTCAAGCCCGGAAGAGATCTTCGCTTTATAAAAGGAACGACGGTTGTTTTTGACGGTTTGATATTTAATCCTATCGTATTGCACTATCCCTTTGCTAGACTTAAGCCCTTTAGAACTGCCGCAGAGTGTTCTCAAACTTACTTCGTGCAATTATGACATTCTCAGTTGTTGTTGTTGTTATAGCGGCAGAATTCTGCCGAGTTGACAGTCCTTGGCCGGATAAAAATCCGGGTCCGTTCCGGTTACGTAGACCCGACTGTCGTGGGAACGGATGACATTCTCAGTGGCTTACCCTGACACCGAATCCTATTGTTTGCGAGCAACGCAAAGAGCTCATCTACTACTAAACTCCATTGCAGCTTGATAGAACTAACCCCTGTGGGCAGACCTCTCATAGTACATAGGGTCCTACTACACTTAAATTTGGTTAGAAACTCAATTCCGTGAATAAGGCCAAAACAAAAATAAAACTATCTTTCTGGGTCGTTGTCGTAGTGGAAGAATTCGGAATTGGCACTCCTTTGCGGAAAAAAAATCCGGCTACGTAGACATGTTTATGGTGAGAACGGTGTCTTACTAGATCTTTCCTGCTGGTAAGTTGAAGTTAAAATGAATTAAAGAAGCGTACGATTTTATGCAAATCGTCACATATTTCATTCCAGCTACATCAAAGTCCTATTTAACAAAATCCTTAATAAATAAAATATTTCTATTTTCAGTTTTTTATTGGTTTATTGTTACTGGTTTTATCGATTTTGAATCACTTTACTTTCCTTCAGCATTTTAAAATAAAAACCAACTAAAAAATTGGTTATATTTCTTTCGCACAATTAAATAAAATAATTAAATTGTCCTATGTAGAATAGTTAAATTAAAAACTAAATTATATCTTTGCTCTTAAACAGATGATGACTATTTGGTACAAATTGTCTTCATAGGCAACATGCGCCTGCAATTCAAAACATCATCGTCCAAACCCATGTTATTGTTTTTACAGTTTATGTCCTTAATTATAAAGAGCTAGATGAGGTGGTTTACTTTATGATAGCTTCTTTTACAACTGTTGATGCTTTTCTGACTGAAATTTACTTGGTGGCGGATTTCAGGTAAGCGATCAAATCACCACGTTCATTGGGCTTCTTCAGACCGGCGAAGACCATCTTTGTACCAGGGATGTACTTCTTGGGATTTTCTAAGTATTCGAATAGGGTATCCTCATTCCAGGTAATGCCTTTCGCCTTGTTGGCATCTGTGTAGGAGAAACCGGCAGCCTGACCAGTCTTACGACCGAACAGACCGTGCAAATTTGGGCCGACCTTATGCTTGCCACCAGCCTCAACAGTGTGGCATTGTGCGCAACGTTGGACAAAGAGTTTCTTGCCCTTTTCAACATCACCTGCTGGTACGCCCATTTTTGTAGTTCTTAATGAATGTTAATAGGTACTCACTCTGTAAATAATAAGAAAAAATAATTAATACTAAACTGTTTTCGTTTTTTTTGTACAAGTAAATGCGAAATTTCAATTTAAATATTAAATGCAATAACAACAACTAACACCATTTCTTCAATAAACTCTGCACAATAATACCGAACAAAACTATCTCATAAATCTCGTTCGATAAGACCAACATATGCAATTATTTTAAAGAGAAACCCCTTATCAAAGTTATATTATGTAATTTAATTCAGCGGAAATATCTGTGTACATATGTATATCACAATGACGGCTGTCTGATGCTTAACGATTAAGCACACAGCAACAGCTTTATTTGTATTCTCTCGTGATACATGAAATCATTTAGAGTTTTGCGTAAAACTTTGCACCGTGCATGGTCCCGATCATTTCAAAAAGCTGACTCAACTCTACGTAAACACCCCCGACTGCAACGCCCGCCATTCTACTTGTTTTGTCTCGTGGTCTTCGTAAAAAAATTACTTCCAACAAATGCAAGTTCTAGGTCGCCCATAACGTGCTAGCATTTTATAATTGCTATTAAAAAATGTCAACAAGAGAAAGGGATGTATAGATGTGTCTGTACATAAATACAAGCAAATCTAACTAACAGACACACTTCTTATGTGCCTGAAAATATTTGCACTTGAAAAAGCGTTTTTTTGCTAATGAGGAGAATTTGTTATGAAACTACTTTGCGTTTTTTATAACAAAAGAAACAGACGTTGACCTCTACTTCCCATTACGTAGACTTTAAATTGAATAAAAAAACCGTTATATAATATAAGTTAAAATATTCTACATTTTAATTCTTTTAAATTCGTACAAAATGCTTTGTACATTTTATACTATGTGTCAGCGCAGTACGAGTGTAAACCCCTTCACACATTAATTTTTAAATGCTTATATATGTAGATACGTGGACGTATGTAAGTATACGCATATATGCATATACATATGTATGTATGTATGTAAGTATACAACCTAAAATATTCGTTCTTGAAGAAAGCTAATGTGTGAAATTTAGAACACGATCCACTTGCAAAAAGTTAAGTAACATGAAAATGACCATGAAAAATTTCCATCACCCACGTGACATTTTTGTTATGTAAAGGTAGATTAATAATGGAAACAGGTTGCGAATTAAATTATCATTCTCTATTAAAAAGTAAAAGAAACGTGGCGAAGAATGCCATCAAAGAATGTATGAATGAAAGTAATGACGGTAATATAACAGTTTCCTTCCTAATCTTCTACAACCATATTTATATACATATATAATCATTGGTGTTTAGCACAAAATTTCTATAAAGATAAAAATGAATAAAAATTGCGTGGTAGTACGTAACTCGCACGTTTTTATGTAACATAGATCAACCCCTATCTTTTTCTATGCAAAGAAACCCCTTCGCACACACCTATCCGTAGCTACCTGTATATGTATACAGTTTAACGCACTTTGCCACTCGTATACTTGTTTATGTAATCAATTTAGCAGTCGTATTGGAATATTTCTGTTTGCTTTAACTTTTTTGAAACAATGTAAACTCAGAAAAAATATATAAGCATTACGACAATGACACACACATATAACTTTATATATTCTATAGTTTATATGTAATAGTAACGTTCCAAAAAATTTTATATTTAACACCAATTTTCCCACTGTACTTACATTGAACACAAATACAACTCGACTAAATTTTAGCACTCCATGTGAGTTTCGTCGCGCCAATATCAGCTGGCTTACGTTATAATGCCACGCTGTACATTTGCGAAAAATGATATGCAAAGCCACACTAATTCCATTACCGCATGTTTTCACGTTCAATTTTTGTTGAAATGCTAAAATAAGGTCTTTTATATAAGGAAATTCACATATTTTCAGTGGTTAAAATCTAATTATAATTAAAACAATTTATATTTGCTTAATTATCAATCTACAAGGTATAAAGAGCTATTTATTCCGTTGTTGTTTCAGTATGAACTGTCAGCGAGGAAAGTTCTATGTGAATGGCAGTGACAGTGATATGACAACACTTTTTCAAGCCAGCAGGGTTGTAATAAGCTTGCTTATGACGACTTAATAAATGAGACTTTATGATAAATTATCATATAATATAAGGGCAATTAAGCTCTCACAAAAAAGACACTAAATGATTGATTTCAATAAAGTTTGGTTAGGGCATAGGTCTAACTTCTATGTGCTGGATGGTCTTGATGTTATCTACAAACTTTTAACCGACTTAAAGTGTCAAACGAAAGTATTTGTATTTTTACTCTGAGCTGGGTATGTTAAGATTGCTACGAAGTTTGTAACACTCAGAAGGAAAGTCGGAGACCCTATAAAGTATATATAAATAATCAGTCTGATGAACTGAGTCGATTGGTCAGGTCCGGCTGATTATATGCAATTAGTTCCTCAGTTTTTCACGTATCGTTTTGAAATTTTGTCGACATTCTTTTCTCACTAAGTTCGGCAAACTGGGTTAGATCGCCGAAAAAAACAGTCCTTTGCCGGATAAAATCCGGGTTAATTCCTTTGCGGGGAACGTCTACAAAAAAAATACCGTTCACAGAAGAACAGCCTATCCAAATTGCATCATCTAAGACATATCATCATCATAAAAATCCCTAAACTAAAATTTATCGATATTCCCGAATCAACGGAATTATTTAAATTTAGAATTTATTAAACATATAATATTTTATGAATATAGCAGAATGCGATTCAATAATTATGGATTTTACTTAGCGCTCTTTAAAAAGGCAATCACATCGGCACGTTCTTCGGCCTTCTTGATTCCCGCAAATACCATTTTTGTGCCTGGTATGTATTTCTTGGGATTCTCCAAGTACTCGAATAATGCGTCTTCAGTCCAAGTCACACCTTTACTTTTATTTGCATCCGTATATTTATAATCACCGAGTGAACCACTCTTACGTCCAACTACTCCATGCAGGTTTGGTCCAACCTTATGACGAGCACCCTTCTCAATCGGATGACATTGGGCACATTTTTGCATGAAAACCTTCTTTCCATTCTCCGCATTGCCAGCTGGAACACCCATCGTGTAAAATGTTACGCTTCAATCAATTTTTGTATTGCACAAAGATGGTAATTAAGCAGAATATCGGGAAAGCAAATCAAAGTTGAATAGGAAATCAAAAACTGACTTTTATAGAATTTACTCGTAAAACGTTACAGCGTCACCGTCAAATGAAATGTATTGGAAAATATTTATTCAAAATAAGTTTGCAATAGCATTGCCAAATCGCAATTATTATTATTAATACTTTTTTTTTATTGGTGCTACATATACATACATATGTATAAAATATTATATTTCTTCTTTACTGGCGTAGACACCGCTTAGGCGATTATAGCCGAGTTAACAACAACGCACCAGTCGTTCCTTCTTTTCGCTACGTGGCGCCAATTGGATATTCCAAGCGAAGTCAGGTCGTTCCCCACTTGGTTCTTCCAACGGAGTGGAGATCTTCCTCTTCCTCCGCTTCCCCCGCCGGGTACTGCGTCGAATACTTTTCGTCCATTCGGACAACATGACCTAGCCAGCGTAGCCGCTGTCTTTGAATTCGCTGAACTGCATATGTCAATGTCGTCATATATCTCATCGTTTCATCGAATCCGATATTCACCGTGGCCAACGCGCAAAATACCATAAATCTTTCGCAGAACTTTTCTCTCGAAAACTCGCACCGTCGACTCATCAGTAGTTGTCATCGTCCAGGCCTCTGCACCATATAGCAGGACGGGAATTATGAGTGACTTATAGAGTTTGGTTTTTTTCGTCGCGAGAGGACTTTGCTTCTCAATTGCCAACTCAGTCGAAAGTAGCACCTGTTGGCAAGATTTATCCTGCGTTAGATTTCCAGGCTGACATTGTTAGTTTTGTTTACGCTGGTTCCAAGATACACGAATTTATCTACGACTTCGATGTTATGACTGTCAACAGGGACGAGAGAGCCAAGTCGCGACTGCAATGACTGTTTGTTTGATGACAGGAGATATTTCGTCTTGAACTCGTTCACTGCCAGACGCATTTGCTTTGCTTCCTTGTCCAGTCTGGAGAAAGCAGAACTAACGGCGCGGGTGTTGAGGCTGATGATATCAATATCCTTCCCCGGCAGCTGTACACGCTTATAAAATATTGTACCTCCTCTATTTAGTTCTGCAGCTCGAATTATTTTCTCCAGCAGCAGATTGAAGAAGCCGCACGATATGAAGTCGCCTTGTCTGAAACCTCGTTGTTTCTAAATTCGCTGAACTATGTCAATGTCGTCGTATATCTCGTGCAGCTCATCGTTAAATGGACTACGGTATTCGCGGTTGCCAATGCGCAAAGGACCATAAATCTTTCGCAGAACCTTTCTATCGAAAACTTGTAACGTAAAGACAAACGTAGCTAAATTGACTCAGCTCATTATACCGATCATTTGTATGTGTATTTTATAGAGTCTCCGATGTCCCATTGGGCTAAGGGTTCACTTAAGCTTCACAGAGTCAAGTCAAGAGGAATATTTACTCTATATTAAATTATTCAAGCTTACTATACATAATTTTAACAAGATATCTTACTTATGTCAAATATTTAGTTATCCTTCTGAAGAAAGCTAGACAACTGGAAGTCTGTGCAATTGTTATTTGAGGTATAAGAACAGATACCGACCGATTTCACCCATTTTTGGATGGATTTCAGAGATACCATATTTGCAGGTTATTATTTTGATGTCTTTCAAAATGTCTTATGTATCTATCGCAAGGTCAAATAAATTGCGGAAAACACAAAGTGACACTCTGTTGGAACAAATTTTATGGAAAGTGGTTTATTATTTTATGAAGATAGTAAATTTAACTTGGCTGCGCCAATAAAGAAGAAGAGAGTATCAAAATGAAGGGTTAGTTGTACGTAATTTTTCATTGTAGGATTTATGAATATTTTTCAAAACCACTATAGCATAGAGTTTCGTGGCAGACTGCGTGACTTTGTCGCTTCATTTAGCATTCGTTAATATTTTTGCGTTTACGAACCCATTATGCCCACTCCTTATCATTTCATAATTGTATGTTTGCCCTAAAGTGTATGCTTGTATGCGGATAGCCCTAAGACGTTTTGGTTTTACTTGGATTTATATACTTTTATTACGACATCGACCTTGAAATGTGCTGTGTTAAATACATGTAAATATGGTAACAAAAAATATAAATAAATATGTATATGACTATGTAACACATACATAGGATAGCAAAGCTCAAATGGCAGTAAAATTCTGTAAATAAGCAAACAAGCAAAAAAAATATATACAAAATTAGAAATCAAGTAATCATAATCCGAATTAACTTAAGTCTCGGGCAGGTGATAAAAGTCTAAAAAACCTTGATTAAGACCAATAGATTACAATCATTTTGTTATTCAAAGCGGAAAATAATGCAACAAATCAAAGACCATAAAGATCGGTCCTGTCTTTCTTGAATGATTAACGATATAATTATATATTATAATTTGTTTCATTTACTAGATATGTATATGTACATAGATGCCTTTTCAAAATAAGCAAAGTGCTTCAATTAAACTGTCAAGCTGTATCGAGTATAAATAAATGTGTGGACGAGCAGAGCTACTCGTATGATTACGTAATTTTCTATACTCATATGGTTTTGAAATCGTTGATTTCTTGCAGCAATCTAAGTTCCTTTGCAATTCAATTACGTAACAACATACATATATGAAGTTACTCGCGGATGTGCAAGCTGGGCTTAATGATTCTCTTGTGTCACCAACGTAAATTTTACTGAAACAATACGATTTTCTTTCTCACGAAGTTTTCATAGTTCTCATGGTAAATCACTCGCACGCTATGACTATATTTTTTCATAACGCAAAATTGAGTTTGAATATAATATTTACTATAAGTATGTATACGAGGGTTGTTAGCTATTTCTTACGATGGGTACGTGAAAAGAAAGGATACTACTGTAAGCTAAAAATAGTAAGACTTTGTTCATAATCTAAATCAGACGATAAGCTGCACGATATTGGTTGAAAATATGGCGAAAAACTCACGAAGAATCCAGATCCAGTCGCATACTGCACTGTGCATTTTCGTGATGCGAAAACCCAGAGTTGTCGGCCTATTTTTACGAATAGCTTCGCGGAATCGACGCATAACATTCAAATGGTATTTCTTGTTGACAGTTTGGTCAGTCGGAAGAAATTCGCACTGCACGACACTTCGATATTCGAAGAAAACAATACTTGACGTATTTTTTTTGGCTTTCATTGACTTTTGCCACGATATTCGGCCGATTGATCGTCTGTTTACGGGTCGTAAGCACATATTCAAGACTCATCGTCAATTATAACACGTTTCATGACATTCTGGTAGTCGGAAAGCATTGTTTCACAGATGTGAACGCGACGCTAATTTTTGAAAACATTTAGAGATTTTGGAACCAATCCTGCTTTCACTTTTCTTACACCCAAATTATCGTTCAAAATGGTAATCCAACGATGTCATTAAGTTCGCTGACTGTTAATTGTCGATTCTCAAGTACCAATTATTTTATTTAATTGACGTTGATGGCCGTCCAGGAGGTGGTTCGTCGTCAACACATTCTCGACACTCTTTGAATAATTTGTACCAATCAAACTCACTTGCACGAGCAAAACAATTATTCCCAAAAGTCTTTTCCAACATTCTGAACGTTTCGGCACCAGAAATTTGATTCCGCTCATAAATTTAATGGAACTTTCTTAACTAATTTAAAAAATATCGAACATTTCTTTAAAACATATTGCAAACAAGTAAGGAAGGGCTAAGTTCGGGTGTCACCGAACATTTTATACTCTCCCATGATAAAGTGATAATCGAGATTTCATTATCCGTCATTTACATATTTTTTTATTTTGCTGTAAATTAATTAGATTAGATCAATTTGTGTACTTTGAGTATTGAATTGTATTTTCATTTATTTTAATTGCATTGAAAAGTTATAGTCCGATCACGACAATTTTTCCACAAGGGATACCTCAGCTCAAATACCGTATTTGTGTAAAGTTTTATTCCGCTGTCATCATTGGTTCCTAATGTATATATTATACAGAGAAGGCATCAGATGGAATTCAAAATAGAGTTATATTGGAAGAAGGCGTGGTTGTGAACCGATATGAAACCGATATCGTCAGGGTGTTTAGAAAATACTATATACCGAATTTCATTGAAATCGGTGGAGTAGTTCCTGACATATGGTTTTTTTTTCATAAGTGGGCGACGCCACGCCCATTTTAAAATTACAAAAAAAGCTGGGTGCAGCTTCATTCTACCATTTCTTCCGTAAGATTTAGTGTTTCTGACGTTTTTTGTTAGTCGGTGAACGCACTTTTAGTGATTTTCAACGTAACCTTTGTATGGGAGGTGGGCGTGGTTATTATCCGATTTCTTCCATTTTTAAACTGTATTTAGAAATGCCTGAAGGAAACGACTGTATACAGTTTGGTTTACATAGCTATAGTAGTTTCCGATATATGTACAAAAAATTTAGGAGGGGGCGGGGCCACGCCCAATTTTCCAAAAGAACCAAGTTTCATCATGATATCTCAATTTTTACTCAAGTTACAGCTTGCACGGACGGACGGACAGACGGACATCCGGATTTCAACTCTACTCGTCACCCTGATCATTTTGGTATATATAACCCTATATCTGACTCTTTTAGCTTTAGGACTTACAAACAACCGTTATGTGAACAAAACTATAATACTCTCTTTAGCAACATTGTTGCGAGAGTATAAAAACGCAATGAATACCATCGATCAACCACTATATTCATCAGATTTGGTTCGGTGTGATTTATACTTCTTCAACAAACTGAAATTGCCGCTACGTGGAACTCGTTTTTAGTCGATTGAAGAGATAAAACAAAATGACTGAACGCCAACCCAAAAAGGGCTTGTGAAAAGTGTTTAGAGGACTGGAAAAAGCGTTGCTATAAGTACATTATATCTGTTGGGGATTATTTTTAAGGCGACAAAATAAATATTGACGAATACTTAATGTTTTCAATTTTATTTACAATTCCCGTGCACTTTTTTGTGCTCAAAGCTTTATATAATATCAACTTTTTAAATCGCAAATAGCTTTAATACCACTAAAGAAATTCAATATAAACCTATATACATACACAT